TCTATAATGTATTTCGACGTTATTAAATAAAACTTTTCTCTCAAGAAATGTTCGTTTTAAATATGCTATTAATTGCAGTACTGTATTACGCAAACTACAATATGTAAAACTATTACCCCTAAACTCAAACTATTGCAGCTGTCTATATTTTTAATTATGCTCTTGTAAGGGTGGGCTTATTATTTTGAGTGGGCTTATTATACAGGGTGCATAAACTACTACACACACACATTTTTAAAATTTATTTAACCGATAATAATTCTAATGATAACATATCGTGAAAACTTTACTTCTAATCATATGTTAAGCAGGCAGCAAAATTAAAAATCCTTGCTATATTTATAAATGAAAACATGTAATAATTTGGTTGTTAAATTGGCCTTTTTATGCAACCATGGAATAATTAATGAACATGCAACAAGCAGCTAGTGGCTAGTGTTACAGCGTAACGAATTACTAAACATAACACCGCACAATAAGCCTAATCAAACAACACACAGAGTGAACTAATTAGTTTGTAAACTCATTTAATAATTTCCCTACTACAGTACGAATTGTTTGTGGCTTTTGATTAACTCCAAAATCACAATCTCAATAACATTATGACAACACTAATTTTGTTTACACAATTGGCTGCTTATATAGTTTAGTGGAATTAATTAATTAATTTACAATTAATTAAATTATGTATATGTTGCTGCATTAATTACAGTAATTATAGTTGGATTACATCTCGATTTAAAAAAGTACATATTTTATAATTGATAGTTTAACACATGGTTTGGATTTTACAGTTATAAAAATCCCATGAATACAATAGTAAACATGACAAATCATTTGTAGTTAATGTTTTCTGAAGTGAGGCGTTACAATCTTCGCCTGTCAAACTTCGATTCTCCTTACAGCGAAATGGCGTTACACTTTTTATAGTAATCTACCTAATTTATACAATTCTATTATTTCTCATAGATAAGAATAGTAATGTTAGTTTTCTTAACCTCTTTTTACATAATGAGTCGATGACGATTAAACGATTTAAAGTTATAAGTATTTTTTAAGTTCCATACGGCTAATCGACATTGATATTATGCTCTTTTATAAGCTACTAGCTGGCCCGACAGACGTCGTCCTGTCCTATTGTGGTTTTATGTCACATGCTCGTTCATTTTCAAGATGAGCTCGTTCGCATGGCTCAATCACGTCCTGGTTGAAGTTCGTTCGCTACGCTCACTCACCTTTAGGTTGGAGCTCGTTCGCTGCGCTCACTTGCCTTCAGGTTAGCTCGTTCGCTACGCTAACTCGCCTCCAGGTTGAAGTTCGTTCGCTACGCTCACTCACCTTTTGGTTGCAAATTAGCTGGTCTCATAAATTAAAAAAAAATATATAGTGCTGCACCCTGTTGGTAAACCTATCAACTTTTTAATGCTATTGAACATCACAGAATCAAATTGTTTAGCTGCACCAGCTGTTAAGATTCTTTAATTCCATTTAAATATGAGTACTCATAAGGTTAACATGGGAAAATCCAGAGCCACTGGGGCGGAGCCCTATTGACGGATCTGCACCAAACTTCACACAAACCATCCTTGAATAATGCTTAATAATGCCTAAAAGTTTCATTACAATCTGTCGATCGGTTTTGGAGTCCATAAAGGACAAACATACAAACAAACATACATTGGATTTTAGATATATAGATTTGTTTACAAAGATATTTAATATTTTCATGCTCATTGATAAATTTTCATGTGTAAAATAAATATATTAAAATGTAATTGGTGTTACTATTGTAAAAAGTGTAAACAGAGAGATGGTTGACAATGATCTTACAAGTAGGCTTACAATTTTCTTATATATGACCACTTAAATGAACATAATAAAAATACACTATATTCTGTGACAAGTTGTACCGTAGTACTGAGATGTTCTCCATCAGCTGTTCAACCACGATGTTTAAAATTAAAAAGTAACATTGGTTGGAAAGGTTGAATTTCAGCAAACCCTACTTATGATTCTATATAAAAAAACGTGAATTTCTTTAGACCAAAGATTCTAAACCCACTACTTTACGGATTTTGATGATTTTTCTAAGATAATTTTGAGAGGAAGGAAATGTCAGAGCCCTAATTTTAACTTTTGGGTCTCAGATTTATATCAATAAAATTTTGATTTAAAAAAGCCTTGCAGCAAACATATACATTTTAAATTAGCTTTAGGTAGGCCTATAATACCAATTAGTCTAAGAACAGTTGCAAACATGAAGTATACAGAATATGAGACGAATTCAGGATTAAGATGACATAGCATATGTAGGGTTAATTTATTTATAGACTACTATGTCTAGAAAGAGTGTACCGATGTAGAAGTTCTAAGTTAGAATATAGATCTATGGGTGAGTAGACCAGTGAATGACCATCTTGCTTGTGCCAGACATAGCAAAATCGGCTATTAAGATACAGTGTAAAAATCAGTTTAAACATCTTGTCCGTAAATCGAATGTAATTTCTAATGATACAACTTAATGTATACGTTCAAACAGAGCGTTGAAAAATACAATTTTCAAAAAAATAATGTGAAATAACGTATTTCGTTATTTGTTTATCACCTTGGAAAATTCATCAATACATTATTTACAACGGAAATAGTTATTTCTTTTATAAACACATAGTCTAAACTAGCACATTAAAACACTTACGAAAAGGGAAGAACAGTAGGATTAATTTCGTTAAGCATAATTTACTACAAAATAAATAACCACTTAGGCCTGTTTCACATCCACCCGGCTGTCGGGTGCCGGTTGTCATTTAATCGGCAATGGGATGATATGGGACCGTTCACACATGCACGGCATGTGTCACTTGCCCGGCTGCCGGGTACTCAGTGGCGTCATTTCACCAAATCCTTGGGGGGGGGGCAAACACCGGGGGGTATGGAAGCAAACAAGGGGGGTCCGGGGAACAAAAAAAGAGGGGTTGAAGCTTATTTTAATTGTCAAAAGCACTTCAAGTAAAAAAAAAAATTATGAGTAAAATCTATTTAAATTTATGCAGAAAGTTAATGAAACTAAGAATTATTGACAACAGACAGAAACACAATAATTTTATGTTGGTAAGTTAGTCATCTAAGAAACGTAATCAATAGTTCCATGATGTATTAATATTATGTTTGTTATGAAATTCATGACCAATTTCTCTTGTACAACATTTAGCAATGAATACGATTGTTCATAGCCTATAGTTTATAATAGTTTATTTTGGGGTTTAAATAAATTACAAACAAGGATTTAAGAACTTAAAAGCAAATCACATTTTATCACCAATAAAATAATTTGACACAAAAGTACAAAAGGTTCTATTTAACTATATTAAATTGGCAGTCTACAATGTTCAAAATAAATTACGTAAAATTTATAAACATGTATAATTTTAATGCTTAAATAATTCATAAGAGTAAATGACAAAGCAATGCTTCTAAAAAATCTGAATTTGTATGTATATATATAAACTAGAAGTAAGTGGTTTATCGTACAGCTCCAAACAGAAAAAGTAAATGAATAACAAAACTACTACTTTATGTAAACTCAAAATGTGCTATCTAATATAAGACAATAAAACAATAATAACTTTTGTTTCAATTTACTGTACAAGAATATACAGATTTTTGTCTGCTGTGCTTTTTAGGATTTGACAGGAGAAAATATTTGTATATTGGCTAGTACAGCATATTTTTTTCTCTAGCCCAGTATCCCCCCAAATGACGCCCCTGCGGGTACTAGTCGAGGGATGCCGGGTGCCCCCTCGGCGAAGGCCGGCTGCCGGTGTCGGGTAAACAAGCCGGCTGGTGTAGTGGGTATAGAGGCCCAATGTGACTGTTCACATACAACCGGCACCTGCGGTCTGTCGGGTGCACCAAGAGTACTTTCAGTCCAGTTGTTTGTAGTTATCGTGTATTAATTTTGGGTATTTCTTCGCAAAGTTTTGGTCATGTCGGAAATAGACCATGAACTACTCATTAATTTAGTTCAAGAGCAGAGTTATTAGAATTTTTACTCAATTTTATTTTTAATTTTTTTATTTTATTTTATTGCATAACATTGAATTGAATTTTACTCAAATTCGAACAGAATTAAATAAAAAAAATCCAAATATAAATATAGTTGCAATAAAAGTTATTTCAAAGTAACATTACAATCGCTCTATAATTATTACAGATGACTCTTTCTATTTACATCCCTACGACACACAAGTTTCACAAGGTGGAGTACAACTGCCGGAGTGCCGGTGTCGTTGTAATGTGAAAAGTGCACTCGTGCCGGTGCCGGCTAGAAGTCGGGTTAACGGCATGCCGGGTAGAAGCTGGGTAGATGTGAAACGAGCCATAGGCATACTACTTTACACTTACTTTTGCCGCTGACTTAGATACTGAAAATGGGAATTCCATTTATGTGAAGCAAATGCAACATTGGATTTGGATACTGTAAGTTGACATTAAATTTACGTGACTTTCCATATATACTGCAAGTAGACATCACTCTGACGTGAACCAGATAAGGCATTGACCTAGGATACTTTGAGTGGACATCCCTTCCACGTGAACCAGATAAGGCATTGACTTTAGATACTGCAAGTAGACATGCCATTTACGTGAACTAGATTTAGCATTGACTTTGGATGCTGAGAGAGAGAGAAAATTCTTTATTTTTTAAAATTTGTTTTGCAGCAATAAATACAAAAAAAAATATTACATGGGCCACAATGACCTGTGCGTGATAGAGAACGCACTACTTGCAGTAGACATCTCATTTACGTGAACCTGATTTATGTACTGTAGTGTTGAGGTTTATTATATTAATAGAATTAAGTATTTAGACATATTTTGAAAACATGATGTGTATTCTAAGTGAGTAAACAAACAACTGAACTGTAAACATATGGACAATTAATTCATCTTAAAACATGTGACAATAACACCAGCTGGTACACTACACATCTCCCCTTCTTCTAAGAGCTGACTGCCGTTCGCAAATGATCTGCATGACATCTCCGGTTCACACCATCGACGTTTACAAGATATGAATAGGGTCCTTTTACTTTTACTATCTTGCCTCGCTTGAATCCAGATCCGGACGTATTTAACACCCAGACGTGGTCATTCTCTTGAAATACTTTTAATTTTGATTCGTGTTTGTCCAATCGTTGTCTAACTAATTCTTTATCTAATTTAGTATCTGCGTCGGGGATCAGTAGGTCTAGTTTTGTACGTAGTTCGCGTCCAAACATAATGAAAGCCGGTGATTTTCCGGTTGACCTTTTTGGAGATGTTCTGTATGCGAACAAGAAACTTTTGAGCTTTTCTTGGACGGTTCCCACATTGTTCTGTGATGCACTCATACGTCCTTTAAATGTTCGAACACACCGTTCTGCTAACCCATTGCTTTTTGGGTGATATGGTGTTATACGTGCATGCTTGATATTAAGGTTTTTGCAGAACGTCTGGAACTCATGAGATGTCAACTGAGGACCGTTGTCACTGACGATAGTTTTGGGATAGCCTAATCTTGAGAACAATTCTTCTAAGGCATTGATAGTGGCTTTTGTAGTTGTTGTCGACATGGGTATCACTTCTAGCCATTTTGATCGTGCGTCTACAACAATCAACCACATTTTACCTAAGAATGGTCCCGCAAAGTCTATGTGGATTCTTGACCAGACTTCTGTTGGGACGGTCCACGAGAAGAGAGGCATCTCCATGTCTTTAGGCCTGTTCTCTTGACAACCAACACAATGTTTTGTATGTTCTTCCAGATCTTTATCTAGACCGGGCCACCACACTTGAAATCTCGCTTTACCTTTCATGGCGACTATTCCTGGATGGCCCTCATGGAGTACTTCCATTACTCTTGGCCTCAGTTTTGAAGGTATTACTATGCGACCGAACCAGAGTAATATTCCGTTTTCAAAAGAAAGTTCTTCACGCTTGTTGTAATAAGGTAAAACTTCTTTGTTGTTGGTAACATGTTCTGGCCATCCACTTCTAAGGTAGTTTATTACTTTAGCGAGTATTGCGTCTTGTTTCGTTGCTTCTTGCAAGCTCTTTGAGGTCAATGGTAAATCCTGAGACCTGAGATGAAATAGATGAGATCCGTTGCAATCTCCTAGGCGTTCTTCGTTTGAATTGATTTTTGATTCAAGAGGAAATCTTGAGAGCAAGTCTGCAGTTGTGTTTTCCTTTCCTTTTTGGTAGGTTATGGAATAGTCGTAGGAACTCAATGTCAGAGCCCACCTTGCGATTCGGTTTGAAACAACCTTAGGGATCGGATCATGTTCTCCAAAAAGCTTAATTAAGGCTTTATGGTCTGTCCGTATTTCAAAATGTCTGCCATAGAGATACTGCTCAAAACGTGTTACTCCAAAAACTAATCCTAGAGCTTCTTTTTCTATCACACTATAACGGGTTTCGCAGAGTTGAGTCGTCTTGAAGCGAACATCACCGGCCTCTCAGTCCCGTCCGAATATCTGTGGAAGAGAGCAGCACCCAGACCAACATCGCTTGCGTCAGTGGCTAGTATCAGCGGTAACGATTCGTCATAGTGAGCTGAAGTGTCCGCTGTAGTTAACAAGTGTTTCAGTTTTGTTGCTATTTTCTCGTGTTTATCTGTCCATTGCCATTTCTCTCCTTTCTTTAGTATACCATGTAAGGGAACACACAATGACTGCAAATGTGGAACAAATTTACCATAGTAGTTGATTGACCCCAGAAACGATCTCAATTCTTTGAAATTTTTAGGGGACGGCATGTTTTTCATCGCTTCTAAGTGCTCATTTGTGGGATGTATGCCAGTTTTGTCAATCATGTGACCCAAGTATTTGACTGAATCCTATAACCATATGCATTTTGACATTTGTGCGCGGATACCCATATCTGTAAAACGTTTTAGCACCTCTCTAACTCGACGTATATGTTCCTCTCGTGTGGGAGCTGTGATTATTACATCGTCGAGAAGACATGCAACTCCTTCCAAGTCCGCCAGTACTTGATCCATTTTACACTGAAATGCCCCTGAAGCAATTTTAATCCCAAAAGGAAGACGGGAATATCTAAAAAACCCTTTGTGTGTGGAAATAGTTAAATATTTTTGTACGCAAGTGTCAACTTCCATCTGTAAGTAAGCATCCTTGAGATCGATGACTGTGAACTCTTATCCTCCAGTAAGTTTCGCTGTAATTTCTTCAAATCTGGGCATAGGATAGTTGTCTGAAATCATATACTTGTTGATCGTGTTTTTAAAGTAGCACATATGCGTATTGCTCCAGTAGGTTTTACAACAATCACTATAGGTGAAGACCATGTAAGAGGCTCCTCACTCGTATTCACTGGCGTCAAGACTTGGTTTTCAACTAACCGCTGCAGTTCGTCTTCCACAGCTTTGCGTAAGGAAAAGGGCACAGGACGTGGTTTTGAAATAACTGGAACTGCGTCTTGGGTCAAGTGGAATACTACGTTACTGTTTTTGATTGTGCCTTGAGAAGGATGAAACACTTCTGGAAAGTCAGTAACAATTTGTCTTACCAAATCCATACTATTCACACGAGTGGTATTGTTCGGTTGCCGAGTAACTGTACATACTTCAGCACCTGGTGGTAAAGGAAGATTGAACTTAAGTACCCAGTCCAACCCAAATAGAGGAACATCATTTTTCTTGACTACTATAAGCTTTAATTTTTTTGAACTACCAAATGCAAGAACACCAACCGATGTTTCGCCTAGTGTTTCAATTTGTACCCCCGTATAGGCAGTAAGATTTTCACAGGGGTTAAGTGTTGGTGATCCAATCGATTTCCACAGTTTTTCTCCAATAATGCGCTGCCCCTGGATCGTAAAGCATTTTTACCTTACGTTTGTTCATTTCAACATTGATCATTACTTTGGAACCCTTTTCCAAAGTTCGTATTTGGTCAATGTCTGAATACGGAGCGTTATCCTCATCCAAAAAATTTTCGATTTGATTTAACTGTTTAGGTCTAGCAACAACCGCATTTCCTGCCTTTAAACATGCACGAGAAAAATGATTATTACCATTACAAGCTTTACAAACAGCACCCATAGCAGGGCAATCCTCGTGATTTGCATGTCTCTTGTTACCGCATTTAAAACAGTGTATTCCCTTGTTGAGTTTAAAAATAACGCTGTTTCTAGTATTTATTTGTCTTGAGTCTGATATGTCTTGTCTTGTGTGTATGTGTCGATTTGTCTGGTGTATTGGGGATTTTACTCTGTTAATTTTTATGTTGCGCATTTCCTGTTTTTGAGTGTCCACATTTTCAACTAACGTTGCCGACTCGGCTAGGCTAGAAAAAGACGTGTTTGTAGATGCGTGAAGTCTTAAAAGTTCAAACTGCCATTTATCATTGTTAATTCCAAGGATGAACTGGTCCCTTAAGCGTTCGTCCAGACCATCACCAAAAGCACAGTGTCCGGCTAGAGACCTTAAGGATAGTTCAAACTGGTTTACAGATTCACCATTGTGTCTGAATCTACTTGTAAAACTGACTCTTTGTGGAAGAGGAGCGGTTTGTTTCGTGTAGTATTTATCTAAGATTGCTACAGCGTCGTTGAATCCAATATTACTTACGGGTGTAGGATGCACCGAGTCGAATACAATTTTGAAAGGTTGTGGGCCTAAGTGTCCTAGTAAAATGTCTCGTTTCTTGTCTTCATTCTTGACGTTTTCGTTCCTTAATCTGATCTTCAATCGTTCAAACCAGTAAACCCAATCTTCGGTCGTCACGTCGAATGAGCTACACTTAAAATCAATATTTTTCGACTGCGCCATTGTAGTGTTGAGGTTTATTATATTAATAGAATTAAGTATTTTATTTTGAAAACATGATGTGTATTCTAAGTGAGTAAACAAACAACTGAACTGTAAACATATGGACAATTAATTCATCTTAAAACATGTGACAATAACACCAGCTGGTACACTACATGTACCTTTTGTAATAGTATTGGGTTAATATGCTTGCTCCGCTCAATATTACAAGCAGACAACTGTATTGAACACATAGTTACCTTAACCTACCTAATATTTCTTTTTCTTTTTCCACCTATAGATTAAATATTTTATAGATTGCATGCCGAAACGTAGTGTAGTAAAACACTTATCGTAAGAAAAGCTTATTGATCTAAAATTAAAATAGTTATTCTTCGCAATTACGAACTTTAAAAAGATAATAGTTTTAAAGAAAAAAGCTTGAAAAACAAGTAGTGAATTGAAATGAAAGTAGGCTTAATGCCTCGGCACAGGCGTGTGTTGTAGTTATGCCTCATTATGACGTCATCAGAGGGTTTGGACCGCCATTAGCATCGTGACCAGAAGGACCCTTTTAAACTCAAGCACTCTCATTTCCCTCGGTTTAAAGAACAACACTTGATCTTTCCTGAAATATTTTATAAAAATGAATTAAGTACTATTTAAGTTTCAGTACCAGGGGACCGAGCTTTGCTCAGGGAAAATACATTAGTTTACTCTGAAAGCAGTCTTAGTAATGTACGTATATTAATCCATTCCCAAACTCCACAATGCTCACCCTTACTACTTCCTTCACCACTCCCTACGTAGTGGACCTGTTTCACTCCCTTCCCATAGCATTTATGAATTGCAGATACATTATTGTAATGGCCACAGACAGTTCCCACACTCTGCACTTCCTTACGACTTCCTTCACCATTTCCTACGTCATGGACCTGTTTTGTTCTCATAGCATTGAAGTATACAGATACATTAATCTAACTGCCACAAACGGTTCACCACTCTTCGATGCCAGCCTTTACTACTTCCTTCACCATTTCCCACGTCATGGACCTGTTGCCTTCCCTTCTCATAGCATTTAAGTATAACAAGATACATTAATCTAACTGCCACAAACGGTTCCCACACGCTGTGATGCAAAACATTACTACTTCATACGCCACTTCCTACGTCGTGGACCTGTTTTCATCTCTTCTCATAGCATTTAAGTATTGCAGATACAAAAATCTAACTCTTACAAACGGTTTCCAGTTCCCACACTCAACACTGCTCCCTTTACTACTTCCTTCACCTCTTCCTACGTCGCGGACCTGTTTCCCTCCTATCCCATTGAACGACTTTTAAGATTGCAGATACCTTAATCCAATCCTCATAAACAGTTCCCACACTCCGGACTGCTCGCCTTGAATACTTCCTTCACCACTTCCTACGTATCGGACCTGTTTTCCTCCCTTCCCATAGCATTTTAGGATTGTAAATACCTTAATATAATCGTCATAAACAGTACCCACACTCCGAAAATATCACCTTGACTACTTCATTTACCACTTCCTCCGTCGCAGAACTGTTTTCCTCCCTTCCCATATAGCATTTTAGGATTGCAGATACCATAATCTAATCGCCATAAACAGTTCCCTCACTCCGGACAGCTCGCATTTACTTCCTCCTTCACCACTTCCTACGTCACGGACCTGTTTCCCTCCCTTCCCAGTGCATTTTAAGATTGCAGATACCTTAATCTAATCGTTATAACCAGCCCCCACACTCCGGACTGCTCGCCTTTACTACTTCCTTCACCATTTCATACGTCGCGGACCTGTTTTCCTCCCATCCCATAGCATTTTAGGATTGCAGATACCTTAATCTAATCCTCATAAACAGTACCCACACTCCGGACTACTCGCCTTTACTACTTCCTTCACCACTCCCTACGTCACGGACCTGTTTTCCTCTCTTCCCATAGCATTTTAGGATTGCAGATACCTTAATCTAATCGTCATAAACAGTTCCCAAACTCTGGACTACTCGCCTTTACTACTTCCTTCACCACTTCTTACGTCGTGGACCTGTTTTCCTCCCATC